GTAAAAAAAATTATTAATTTTTTTTTATTAGGAAAACTTCTCAATTTTCTATTAAACTGAGATATTAAATATGAAATAAGATTAAAGTATAGATATGATAAACTATAATTTTTATACTTTATAAGGGATATATCTTTGTAGTCTATGATATATCACATAATGTAGATAAATCGTAATTTTTTACACGGTAAACTCTCTTTGTAATTTTTTTATTAGAAGAATTTCACAATTTCCTATTAAACTGAGATATTAAATATGAAATAAGTTTAAAGTAGATATGATAAAAACAATGATTTTTATACTTTATAAGGGATATATCTTTGCAGTCTATAATATATCGCATAATGTAGATAAATCGTAATTTTTTTATTCGAAAAATTTCACAATTTCCTATTAAACTGAAATATTAAATATTAAATAAGTATTAAATAATGTAGATAAATCGTAATTTTTTACACGGTAAACTCTCTTTGTAGAAGAATTTCACAATTTCCTATTAAACTGAAATATTAAATATTAAATAAGTTTAAAGTAGATATAATAAAAACAATGATTTTTATACTTTATAAGGGATATATCTTTGCAGTCTATAATCTATCGCATAATGTAGATAAATCGTAATTTTTTTTCACACGGTAACTGTAAACTCTGTTTGACGTGTCAGCTATATGATACATCGGTAGTGCTTAGAATTTAACGCATCACTTTTTATTGACGTATTAAAAACATAGACCGCTATTATAAGATCATGTCACCCAGTCATGCGAGGATGGAGCTTAAAATATCGTGACGAGGATCGTGACAGCGTTTTATAAGTGCGTTGTCGTGTACACACTTTTGTCGGTTCGCTACTTAAAAGAGCGTCTCGAGACTCTATAAGCAGCCACTTCTCTCTCTCTCTCTTCGTTCTCGAGAAATCTTAGAGAGTTCTCGGCGTGTCTCTTTTACTCCGAGAAATGAAAACGCTCCTTGCACAAATCTTATCCATTCCCTTTCTTTCTCTCTCTCTCTCTGAAATGCTTTGGAGGGCGTATGTATATTCTGATTTGCATATCTATTTCAAAATACGTGTGAAGTCGCAGTCTGGAATGTTAAACTGTTTAATGACTATTAGTTAATCGACGTAACATTGAATAAATACGCAAGCGATAAGCGCTAATTGCTCAATTAATACTCCTTCGCGATCGCGAATAGAAATTATGAATATTTACTCGGGTGCGATATTTCGCTCGAGCAATGTCTGCATCTCTGTTGCAATAATATTCGATTGCATCAACGTAGCGCATTATATCGATTGCTTCAGTACGAATATGTAATCGTTTCTTCGTTGCAAATAGGATTTAAAAAAAAAAACTTTACTTAACACGCGTGCCGTATAATTGCAGGGAATTCAGCTCAATCTTTTTCCTTTCGCTCGCCTCTTTTTTTCCGCCGTAAAAATTCAGTCCTCCCATAAAATAGAAGACGCGCTCGTTTTCCTTATTCTCGCCCCCTCGATATTTTCGACGAACGGGGATCCTCTCGGCACACTGTATTTTTTTCTATCTAAAAATAAATCAGTCCCTTTGCCCGCGTGCCATATGTCGACTCTTTTCTGGTAAGTGTTTTCCGATCTATCACGTGCAACAGATGGTCGCTCCTTATCGAAGAATGAAAATTCTAGGAGCATAATTTTCTGACAGGTTTTCCGTAGATAAAATAACCATAAACCGACGATTTCCATTTGCCGCTCGTGAAAAAAATCTTTTAGTCAAATCTTAGTTTCCGAATTAGTGAACTTAGATTTCTTTCATTTCAAAAGATTGGTGTTATCTGTTACATGTCGTTATATATTTATTATAACTGAATTAATAATTATATTAATTAAAAATTAAATGGTTTGATAAAATAATAATAATGACTAGAGTGTGAATGTTAATCTAAGTATCAGAAATATATGTGTGGATCTCAGAATGAAATAAACCGTGACAAAGATAAAAGAATTTATAGACGCGCCGGAATGGGATTAGGAAATCGGTGAAGGATTTGATTGCGTTCAGTAGATGTTTACTTTACATAGGAAAATGCATGTAACATTTTCTCTCTCTTGAATGAAGTAATTAATCATTAAGGCAATTACAGCGAGTTCTATGGGGCAATTAAAATGTCTGTGACGCATATATCTTTATCTAGTATATACATATAATGATATCTAGTATACAATAGTGATTTAAACGTAAATTTTACCGCAAGTTACTTGAAAAACAGATAATAAAAAGTCGGTTGTTAGTGATTGATTTAATAATGAAGAAAAGAGAGAGAAAATCTCTAACAGTATATAATTGGATATAAATTTTTTGTTAAAAAAAGAGGGGAGAATCCTATAGATTTCTTTGTTTCGATATATTTTTTTACATATATAATTCCAAGAAATTAGAAAAGAAAATCTCTCTTTCTCTTTCGAAATTATATATATTTATATATTAAGTTTATAATAAAAAATAAAATAACAAGTTGGGATTTGAGATATACATAATGAACTTTAGAAGAGATAGAAATAACACGACGCGAGAGAGGAATGCTTGAGAAGGGACGATCTCCTATTATAAATCATAAGGATGATTATGTTAAAATTCGCTAGGGTCGGCTCATTAGTTCGCGAAATATCATCCAGCTAGTTTTTTTATCCCGTCTTCCCCAAGGCTATCTAGTCGGGAAACGAGATGGACGGCATAGAAAACAATTTGAACGCCCCATTTGAGACGCGGGTAGTGCCTTAATTAGTCCCACCGTAGAAGATTACCAATCAGCAATCGAGGAATTACGACGCGGTAATTTTTCAACCTGCAGGCCGCAGCGTCCCTTTCGGAATGATGAAGCTGTACGGATAAGATATCGATACACGAAAACACATTTTTTCTCATTTTCCGCTTATTAGATATGTTCTATTTATTCGCATATTATCAATATATCAAAATATATGAGTTTACAAAATTTTCTTTTTTTTTCTACACCCATATGATTTTTAGAAATTTATGATAATGAAATGCGAAATGTGTACGAATAAAACAAATATAATTGTTATAAAATACAATTATAATTTTATCATAAATAAATACTAAAAATTTCTTTAATTTATATATATATATATTATATTATTATATTATATATACAATATATTATATTATTATATACTATATATAATATTTATTTATATTACATATATAATAATTTATATATACACATCTATAATATAAAAAAAATCATTTTTAATTAAAAATTATAATAATCGCGTGAATAACTCATGAAAATATGGAATTATCCGAGAAGTTGCTCGCTTTTCAATCCGATAGAATTCGAACTCCGCAGTCTCCGATTTATTCGCGCGGAAACAAGAAAAGGAAAAAAAGGCATTGAATTTCGGCAAGTCTTCCTTTTTCTTGCTACACTCCCTCTTCCTAAGCCTCCTAAGGAAACTGTTAAATCTATTACGGCTGTAAAGCTCGATCACGATCGCGTCTTGTGAAGAGGGTCGAGGATCAAGTCTCGGACGACGAGTTGTATCTTATGTTAGTATGTATGAAGGGAAGAACAGAAGAGAGAGACAGAAAGAAGAGAGTGTGTTTTGTAGTTACGGTGGACCAAGTCGCAGGTAGGCGACGAAGGGTCCCCTGAAATCGTTCGAAAAATGAGGAGACGCACAGAGAGAACCCGGGAACGTTCCTTTTTCGCTTTTTTTTGCGCTCGAGCGCGATATAATCGTCTGTCCTCTCGTGGAGACTGGACGTGGAAGAATGACGGTGAGGGAAAATCGTGGAGCGACTTGTCTTTGCAACCCCATCAGTTTCGTCCTGCAGTATTTTTCACTATTGTTCATATTCTCTCCCCACAATCAACACGTTGATTTTTTTCAAGTATTTTTTCAAAGTATTTCTTTAAGTATAATAAATTTTATTACATTTTAATAATATATAATTCTTTTCATAATTAATATACATATTTAAGAAATAATTTCTATAAATTAAATATATAAAATGATTGTATTGATTATATGTAGATGTATATATGATTTAACTTGGAGAATGTCAGTAATTTACAATTTTGATTATTTTATTTTTACGATTATTATAATTTTTAATTTAAAAAATTATTTTTTACTTTATAGATGTGTGTATATATATATAAATTATTATATATATAATTAAAGAAATTTTTAATATTTATTTATGATAAAATTAAATTGTATTTTAAAACAATTGTATTTGTTTTATTCGTACCTACTCATATACATTTCGCATTTTATTATTATAAATTTGTGAAAATTGTATGGGTATAGAAAGAAAAAGAAAATACATATACAAGCAAAGGATGAAAGGCTTAAATGATACAAAGGATTCACGAAAGAATAATAAGCGAAGACATCGAGCTGTGTAAGCTTATCTATGGATGTTTATCTTTTCCTAGGACAGATAAAAAAGTTGTCAAGTCAGAGATAGCTAATATATTATATCTGATGAAAAGGTTATCGAAATATTAACGTATTTTTTCAAGTATACGGAGAACGCGATGACACTTTCGATAAAGTGTAAACAGAAAAATACATTACTATCTTTTATTTTTTATTAATCTTGCGTGATTATCAAATTTAAAAAGAACGCGCACTTGATAATAAAGCAATTCTTGCAATTTTATTTTTACACGTGCTGTCTCTCTGTCTCTCTCTAAATATTTGTATTTTTTTATATTCTTCAATTTGCTTCGAGAATGTAAAATTTTGTTTGCAATTAATTTTAAATCATCTGAAATGCAAACTTAAAAAAATAAAAATCTTGAATCTTATCCATATACATATATATTTATTATATTTTATTATATTACAATCTCATACATATACAAGCTACTATTTACAAGACATCACATTTAATGAAAAGTTGTAGATCTAATTTCTTCGTAGTTTTGTTTTTATTTTTATTGATAGAAACAATTTATATTTCTATTTTATATTTTTTTCTAAAAACACATTTTTTATGATTATTAGGCGTGCAATGATTAAAAAAAGGAAAATATGTGATATCTCTTCTAATCTTTCTAGAATTACTCTCATCATGCGATGATAATTTAAAAAATAAAAAGTAAAATAATACAAATAATATCTCGAAGAGATAAAAGGAAACACTTATTTAAAATTTGAAATTTGCAGATTTAAAAAAAATCAGTCTAACAATAAGTAATGATCGACTTTTAAGTATGTCGACCTCTATTTGTGAGCCTCTTATAATATCGTTCTACTAATTAATATTACTGTTTCTCATAATAATCAATAACAATTATAATTAATATTATTATAATAATGACATTTACATAAGGGAATTTACGATGCAGAAGTAGAGAGAGGATTTGTAATAATAAATTTAAAAGTTAAATTCTTCAAAAGAAGAACGTAATAAGCTCTACATCTACATAATCCCGTTTTATCTCGCGTCGATAAATATTAATTTATTGATCGATGTCTGCTGATTGAAACGAGAGATACGAATTTTTCGTCAATGAAATTTTTTTTACATAAATAGTACGTATATATAATACAATCGACATCTCTGATGTCAGCTTCATAATCTTACGTGAATATCTCGTTACAAATTACTTGTTGGCATCGTTGCTATTTGTCGGCTCTATCCGAATCGTTGACACTCGATCTATCGCCCTGTCCTCTCCCTGTTCTCGATTTTTCTCTGGGTCGACATAATATACAAGTCGTGCAGCGTAACAAAGTATCAGCATTTCGACTAACATCAGTGAGTTGTACGTTACTGAAATCGAGAAAAGAAAAATGATTAATAAATCTGTCATCAGCTATATATCTACCACAATTACAATTAAAATCTCGCACACTTTAAATCAACTCATGAATTTTTATATTTACATATATGTATGTTATGTATTAATTTATATATATGTATCTATATAGGTATTTACATTTTTTTGAAAATATGCTCTTTAATTGGAATTAGAATTGATATAATTTCAAAATCATATTTATATAATTATTTATATAATATTTGATATAATTAATTATATAATTATTTATATAATTAATTATATAAATTATATAAATAATTATATAAATATAGTTGTACGTTACTGAAATCGAGGAAAGAAAAATGATTAATAAATCTGTCATCAGCTATATATATCTACCACAATTACAATTAAAATCTCGCACACTTTAAATCAACTCATGAATTTTTATATTTACATATATGTATGTTATGTATTAATTTATATATATGTATTTATATAGGTATTTACATTTTTTTAAAAATATGCTCTTTAATTGGAATTAGAATTGATATATAATTTCAAAATCATCATATTTATATAATTTATATAATTAATTATATAATTATTTATATAAAATAATTTATATATAATATTACAATTAATTAATTTTACTGATAGATGTATATATAAATATACAATTAATTATTTAACATTAGAATAAACAAGAATAAATAAGCTGCTGGAATTGTATAAATTATGCTACTTGTATATATCGTCGTAATAATTAGTACGATAATTAATGAAAAAAATAAATATTAAAATATAATAATATAAATTATAATAAAGTAAGATGTATAGCACAAAGAATCTTTTTTGCTAAACCGATGCTTATCGTTATCTCACAGTGCGGTTTGGAAGCAAGGGAAATGTATTCACGACACGTAGTGTAACGGGTGAATTTTTCTGGCGCTTGTGCGGATGCTGCGTGACGTCTCTGTCTTCTATGTGAAACGAGTTTCTTTGTTATATTCGATCGTGGGTCCGGAACGCAATGAAAAGGAAAGACGTATTCTGAATTACGAGATGAACGATCTTATCATATTATTTGAAGATGCTACCGTGAAATCATGCTCTTTTATCGGTCGAAATTCGATATAATAGCAATTTAAATGACAAATGGCGTTGTGTAGACACAAGTAGCATAATTTATATACAATTCTAGCAGCTTATTTATTATTATTTATTCTTATTTATTCTTATTTATTTACATTGATTTATTCTAATGTTACATAATTACAGTACCCTCCATAAGTTTGGAAACACCTTACATTTTACAGTTAAACAATCGTATGGCAGCGATCTGTGTAGATTTTTCGTATCAATAAATCGTAAAATATTTAAATAACATTTTTATTTATGACAAATATTTAAATGACATTTTTATTTATAACAGATCGCTGCCATGCAATTCTTTAACTGTGAAATGTAAAGTGTTTCCAAACTTATGGAGGATACTATATATATTCATTAGGGTGGTCGTTATATAGGTTTTTTCAAAATTTTAATGTTGGATGGTCGTAAATCAGCTCTAAATGTAGAAAAAAAAATCTCTAATTTTTTCAGATTTTTATTTTGAGTCCTGAGTCTCCCTGTTGGCATGTAATTTTATTAATAATTTTATTAATACCACAGTTCTGCAGCTGCTTCTGTCATCAATTTTTGTTGTAAATAGTTTGAAATTTTAGTGAAAAAAAGTTGAAACTATTTGAAAATACCGAAAATATAGTATAAAATAATATAAAATAGTTAAATAATATAAATAGCGGAATAGCCCATATAATATTTATGACTATCTTTTATGAAAAATTAAATAATTTTGTTCACTACTTTTGCAGCTGACTCCATCTAGAACTGAAGTAAATTAAGTATTTTTTCAAATTTTATAAAAAATTAATATAAATAATATTTAAATAACATATAAATGAATAAATAAATGAACTGATATAAGAATATAACATAACACGTGTAAACAGGGAGACTCAAGGCTGAAAATAAAAATCTGAAAAAATTAGAGAATTATTTTTTCTACATTTGGAGCTGATTTATGACCATCCAACATGATGTTCAATTTAACGACCACCCTAATATTCATATATACATCTTATTTAGTCATTATATAATCACAATGATAATGATTCAAATTTCTGAATTGGTGAGACCTGTCTAATTATAATTTCTAATTTAATCTATAATATTAAAATCATCGATTTTCTCCGAGCATTTAATTTTCTGAGAGCAAAAATGAATTAAGATAATGAAAGTAAACAAAGATGAAAACTTATATATTACCGGTGGCATAAACGGTCGGAGTAAGAGGTGGATTGCACGGAAAAACGCCAGCTAGTCCCTTAATAATGCCCGCTTGCAGTTTCGAGAACAACAGCATCAGTTGCAATACCAGTGTTTTCAAATGTAGATTGGCCTCTGAAACAGAAACAAGCAAGTTATTGATCAAAAATTTCTTTTGTTATTAAAGGATATAAGATAACTTGAGGGAAAATGGAAACGATTAATCTCAGTAACAACAATAATATCGTTGTGATATTTGTGATAATTATAATGATACGATTGTCATTGTTCGGTGACTCCAATGTATTGGATCTGAATTTTTATCTTGAATGAACGTACAGAATGTGATTTATAAGTGTAGGATTTTAAAAATTACTATATTAAAATTAATGAAATGATAAAAAAAAACATTTTCAATTTAAACATCTTTCCGTTATAATATACATATATATTAACAAAGAGAACATGGAGGAAATATTATGGCAAATAAAAATATGTGGTTTATTAATATAAATAATATTAATATAACGTATATAATTTTTTAAATTTTATTTTGAAAAATTTTTACGAAAAAAAGTAAAAGGATGATGAAAATAAATTAAATGTATATGCAAACTACTACAAATAAAGCTGTTGAAATTAAACTAACTGAAGAATTCTTGAATAAATATGCATATTCATTACCTGGGGCTACCGCATGCAGAGTCTTTGTAGTAACAGTTATACCATATATTCCAAGCAATATGCTGGTTACCATGAATGGCTGAAGATATAGGTTGTATTGCGTGGCAAGAGTCGCATCCTCCGCGGTCATAAAAAGTAATATAAAAAAGAGGAGACCCTGAAATTTGAACATATATTCTTGAACTAAAATTTCCAAACTTTTTAGTGTTTTTTGTTGAAATATATAAATACTCGCTATTGAATATTTTATTCTGATTGATTTAATTTTAATATTGTGCGCGTGTGTTAATATTTTCAAGGATATTTATTGATTTCACAAAATATATTATAGGAATATTTATATGACGGAATAGAATAAAGACTGAGAACCGAAGCCGGTTATTATGGCCAAAAATTATTATTTATTACAATAAAGATATTATTACACAAACGTTTCCGTCTTATTTAGACCATCTTTAGTGTAAAATTAATATTGATACAATGAATAAAATGAATAAGAAATCGCATATTACAACAAAATTCGCATACGCAAATAGCTTGTAGGAAAATTATTTTTTATTACTTCCGGCCGAATTAACGACAAAAAGTGGAAAGTTATGGTTCTAATTCGTCCTTATTGTCAACTAGACAAAGGATATAATCGGTAAGTTTCCTCCAAAATCCTGTCACATTAATTTTATAAAATTTTGGAGGACATACCGATTATATCCTTTGACTAGTTGATATAACAAGCACGAATTAAAACTATGATTCTGCGCTTTTTATCCTCTCACTTTTTGTCGTTAATTTGGTCGGAAGTAATAAAAAAAAAAAAATTTTTCTTACAAGCTATTTGCGTATGCGAATTCTGTTATAATATGCGTCTTCTTATTTATTTTATTTATTGTATCAATATTAATTCCACTGAAGATGGCCTAAATAAGACCGAAACATTTGTGTAATAATATCTTTATATATATATATTGTAATAAATAATAATTTTTGGCCATAATAACTGGCTCTTATTCTATTCTGTGACAAGTTTATATATTTTACGTAAAAATAAATATTCGAAAAGTTATTTGAAAAGTGTTCAAAATTTTAAACAAATCACGCTGTGCTGCTTGTCAAAAGTTTTTTTTATTTCAACTGTTCAAACAAAATTTGAAGAACGAAGATTTACTTTAATATGTAACTTGTATATAATTGATTTTATTTAAATATTAATACAATTGATATTATGAATGAGATCTTCAGGATTATGTATATAATTGCATATTTTCTGCTTTTTCTGCGGAAAATTAAAATCGATGCAATATATTATGTAAGGTTGATTATAAATTTTGATCAGTCTGGGAATGAATTAAAATAATTACTTAACGCGAAGAAGAGCGAGATAATCGTGAAGGAGCGTGAAGAAAGGAACGGAGATTTTTTTTACCTGGACGATAGGAAACTGGAGGACCAGGATTCTTAGCCAAGACAAATTGGCGTCAGTCATCTGAAGGTTCGGAAAGGGCAGACAGGGCCAGCAGCAACAGGGCCCGACTCGCAGCATCAACGTCGGCGTCTCGCTGATCTTTCGATGACCGACGTCCACCAGGAGTAGATAGAGTCGATAAAATGAGATTGTTATGAAAATCTGGGTTACCGCTTCCGATAGTAGCTGACCTCTGTCGAAAGTCAAACGAACATCATTATCCTTATAAATTTTATAAAACTAATGTGACAGGATTTTGGGGGAAATTGCAATTATTGCGATCAATTAGTCATTGCAGTTATTGAGCAATTTTTAATTTTTGTTTTGAAAGAGATTTATTTTTTTTTTATTTAGGCAATTTAATTTTTATCTTTTTTTATTTTTGCATTTTAAAACACGTTAAGGATCTTTTTTATTAAAAAATTTGAAATTTTATTCTAAAGAACAGAAAGCTAATTAAATACTCAGATTTAAAAATAAAATATATTAATGATTTCTCTATATACGGTAAAGTTATAGAATTATATCTCGACTTTGATCGCTTACGATAAATTGTTTAAAATGAACAAGTACGTAAAAAACGAGAAATAGGAATGACCATGTGCGCGTGATTTTATTTTACACTTCGCTTGTGGCAAGTTTCTCTCAGAATTTCGATATCGTCAGTGGATTGCGATAGGCTTTTACTTTTTACCTTGGTACCGCAATCGCCATGAGACTGCATACACTCGCGACCGGATACACCGACAGGATCATCATAACATTCCCTTTGTAAAATTTCGAGTTCTTCTGGTGAGCGATATTGTGACATGTATCGACAGCGAAGTATAGTGTGATGACTGTGAATATCGATCCGGCACTCAGCAATCCGGTACCTAACGCATCCAAATCTACACAAAGAAACAATAATTGAAAAAAAGAAGATAAAAATTATTCATGATTTTTTCAAATAAAATTCTGCAAATATATTTAACGATTTAAATAATTTCTCTGCTTTTTAAGTTATTTCCAATTTTTAAATAATTCTACTTATTTCACTCTTAATTTATTTTTTATTATAAAAAAATGTATGTACATACTATAATATCGATATACTTATCAATTTTTTATTATTAAGCATTTTTATTTTTTATTATAAAAAAATATATGTACATACTATAATATTGATATACTTATCAATTTTTTATTATTAAGCATTTTTATTTTTTAAATTTTATTTTTGCTTTTATGGAGGAATATAAAAGAAGCTATATTTGAATGGTGATGATAACAAAATATCTTATCCATTTTGTATATATTTGCAGTGATTTCCGTAGTGATACTTCCAACAGTTTTATAAGTCTTATATGACTGTCGTTCTTTTTTAATCTTATCTGTGACAAGCAATGATGATAAAGTAAATGTTTAAATTTTTTGAACAATATTACTAAAAATTCTTCTAATAATGAATGGGGTTAGTGCGATTCACACAAAACATTGATGTTGATACGCGCAGATATTTCTATTACTAAAACATCTAATTTTTTCAAGTTGTTGCTATTTTAAATCATTATTATAAAACTTATATAATAATAAAATTTTATATATTATTTTGATCGAATAAAGAAGCTTTAGCGTATTCTTAGAGAGCAATTTTATTATGAAATATCAAGGAGGAAAAGTATCGCTTATTAATTAATTCATTCATGTAACATTATGATATAATCATTTTAATTAATATTATCTTATCATAATTCATCATATTTCATAAATCTGTTATAAGAAATTCTCGTAAGGAAGCTTTGTGGATAACAAGAAACTTATTATCTAAAGACAATTGCAGACAATTGATAAGACTATCTAAAAATAGTTTGACGTCATTTTCATACAATATTCATGCGTAAGAAGATAGAGAAAAGGTGAATATATGAATATTTATAATTGGTTACATCAATCAATAAAATATACATCAATATACATATTAAGATGTGTACGAATGTGTGTATATTAAAATTTTATAATTATATATATAACAGAATTGATAAACGCATTACTTATCGAGAATGAATCGTCACATTGTTTAGATTCTTTGTTTAATAAACGTTGTGATGTGTAAATCAAACTACATGAAAAAAAAAATTATTTGACTTAACAAAATCTGCGGTCGAATACATGCAAATAAATATCAATGTAATAAGAACTAAATATTTTGTTTAATTGCAACGCCAATGTTATAACAACTAAATATTTTGTTAAACACAGAATATTTAAACTCAGATACGAAATATATTTTTATCGGCTCTCAGTATTGATAATAATAATATAAATATAATATGTTTAGTTCTTATTACATTGATATTTATTTGCACGTATTCGACTGCAGATTTTGTTAAGCGCAATAATTTTTTTAGTGTACAATTATATTTGCGAATTATATACAATTATTACAATTATTTATCAAAAGTCTGCAAAAATGATTCATTCAGTTTACCAACCGCTTATTTGCGCCTTGAAAAATGCTTTCGCACCGGTATGTGAATATTTACGATTGATTACATCAATCAATAAAAATTATATACGTATTAAGACGTGTTTACGGATATGTGTATATTGAAATTTTATAGTTATATGTATAGTAGAATTGATAATCGCATCGCTTATCGAGAAGGAATCGTCACATTGTTTAGATTCTTCGTTCAATAAACGGTGTAGTGTAAAACAAATTGTACACTTATGTTTGCGAATTATGTACAATTATTTATCAAAAGTCTGCAAAAATGATTCACTCAGTTTGCCAGTCACTTATTTGAGCCTTGAGAAAAGCTTTCGCACCGGTATGTGAATATACCGGTTACAACTTGGGTATAAATGCTTTAGTAAAGTATACGATATACAAGGTATCGTGAAAATATGTTAAAGGTGTTAAGAAATCACAGATATCTCGAATTTCTTTTGTTTTTTGTATACTGTATTTTTTATTATGTTTTATAATTTTGATATTGCTTATATTTTATACATTTTATTTTGTATTGTTTATACTTATTATATTTTTTTATTTAAATCTTTAACAAATTTTATAATAGAAGTTTAGGCTCGTAAGAATTCAATCAAATTGATAAAAGATACAGAAAGAAAGGCCAACTTAAACGAGCTAACATTAAGGTTTTTCAGTCTTTCGTTTTCAAATGTGTTATATTGATTATCTTATTAATTTATTATGTATCAAATGTAAAAGTTAAGGTATTGATAAAGATTGTTGTACAGTTGAAACGTACGTATACGGTTGTAATAATTTGTTTTATGTGGTTCTTTTTGTAATAATAAATTTTTATTTGACATTCTGAATTAATGTTAGCTCGTTTAAGTAAATTCTTTAATTTATATATACAATATTTTTTATATGATTAATGAAAGCACAGTAATGAAAAAATGCTTTCTATATATATTTAGCTTCTTTTTAATTTATCTTAGAGAAAGAAATATGCGGAAGAGAATAATAAGCAAATTATTTGCATAAGTTATGTTTGAAAATTTTCGAGGTTTGCATTTATAATATACATATACAGGGTGTATCTGACCGTCCATAATATTTCCAAAAAATGCAAAGTAACAGGAAGAGTTGGAGAGAAATGTTATCTCCTAAATTCCGTCCGAAGAATCGAATAAAGATATTTTTATTTTCCAGAACTGACCGGAAGTAGTGATCACCGGAGCCAACTTTGAAATCTTACATGTCATTGGATAGAGCTTGAAAAAAAGAAGCATCTTTTATTCGAACATAATCGCAGTATCTTTAATTATTGAGGAGAAACAACTGAAAAATTGAAATTTGATGGTGTTGAAATAATAAAGTTTAGTACTCAGCAGGTATTTATAATATAAGATGTTTACATTATTTGACCTCAGTACATGTTGTTTGACAGTGATTCTACAAGGGCATGCACTAAGGTTAAACAATGTAAACACCTTATAAATACCTGCTGGATACTTAACTTTATCTTATTATTTCAACACAATCTTTAATTTTTTATTTGTTTCTCCTCGACGGTTAGAAGAAATACTACGATTATGTTTTAATAAAAAATGCTTCTTTTTTCAAGCTCTATCCAACGACACTTTACATGACATGAAAATTGACTCCGGTGACGACTACTTCCGGTCAATTCCGGAAAACAAAAATATTTTTATTTGATTCTTTGGATAGGATATTTTTAGAACTTAACATTTCTCTCCACTTCCTTTCACCTTACGTTTTCGGAAAAATTGAGGTAGACGAGTGGTCAGATATACGTTTGTATAAGACTCCATGTATACTCTGTGAACTTAGACTTTACTTTCACCGATGCGCCAACATATCGCTCGATGCAAGTGTACATCGTATATTTATTATCATAAATGTATTTGTAAAATAATAAGAAACGATTATATTAATATTATATGACATTAATTTTTCACAGTCAAGTTTTTTATTTTATATGAAAATTACTTTATTTGCAGCCTTAAATAAGTTTCTGCCGTGCGTTTTATGTGTTAATAGAAGAGAATTACCATTGATTAAATAATATTAATATATGTAAATAAGAATACTAATATAATATCATTAATAATATTAATTATAACATTTTTTTATATTATATTATATAACATTTTTTATATTATATTATATTTTATATTATATTAATTATAACATATTTTTATATTATATTATATTACATTTTTATATTAAATTTATATGTATATTTCGAGAATCAAAATAATATTACAAAAATATAAATATAAATATAAATTAATAATTGTAAAAATTACATATTTTTCACAATGAGAAACACGGAGTATTTGCAATATTTGTGAAATTTTAGTTGTTTGTCGCAACATGTAAATTATATATTTATATATATATATATATGCTTTTATTTATTAAAGTTACATTGGTATAAGAAGATAAGAATATCGCAACAATTTCTGATATACAATTTAGTTCCGTATTTATAATGCAATGTTATTATTACGTTATTACTGTCACGTCAAGAAAAAACTCGCAATACTCGGTTCAAACACGTAACTCACTTTCTACGATCATTATTCTACAAAAAATCCCAAGTGAGCACGAGAATAATTTAATGTTATCCGTCGCAGTCGATATTTTTTAATAAAGAAATTGATGTCAAGTCGATCAATAATCGTCTTCGCTATTAAGTAATGGGTCAACATAATTAAAATTCCATCAAAGAGTATTAAAAAATGTTTTTAGCGATTTGCTAATTTATCAATAACTATTTAAATTTATTATTTAATTTAATAATTAATTATTTTTACATTTATATTATTTTTGTATTCACTTTTTCCATATATTTACATTTATCATCATTTCATATTTTTTAATTAATATCTTACTAGAACGTAATTACTAAATATTATTTGCATTACTAATAAAATAATACTTATTCAAAAAATTACTGAAAATTATTAGTAGAAATAATTTGCAGATACATTAAAATACAGACAATCACCACATAACAATCATAATTAATTTTATTAGACGATGCAACAATGGAAAAATTATAAGCATGCATAATTGTTGCTTTGCCTCACTAATTTCGACATTATCAATAATCCCACTTGACTCTCTTTTATGTCTCGTGTAAGACTTTTAACACTCGATTAACTTTCGCGGAGTTATTGCATAGACTTCCGGGGAACTCACTTTCTACAAGCTCGATAGCTGAGGGCACGTAATACGAATCGCAGCTAACATCCGCTTGAACATCGAAATCCTTCCTGTCACCCATGGTCCCGAATTTTTCTCACTGAAGTCGAGTAAAGAAAATTCTCGAGCGGTCTCACACCGTCGTGCACTCGACCGTTCGCCACTCGCGAGCTTGACAAACTCGAAAGGCGGACTCGCGAGGTAGTAACCTCGCGAGCAATTTCGCGCGCCAGAGAGCGAGAGAAAGAGAGGGAAAAAGAAAGAAAAAGAGGGAGAGAGAGAGAGAGAGAAAGAAACGTTCGCGGCTGCGAATAGTGAGAGTAAGTCCCCACTTTATTTTGCTACCATTGAATCGCGATGTTGTAATGAATTATCACTTGCAAGAAGTGCAAGAGAAAGAGAAAGCGGGAGAGGCAGAAAAAAGAAAGAGAGAGAAGAGGACAATGAGTAATAATAAAGCGAAATCTCCTTGTTCCGCAAACTTTCTCCCTCTCTGCAAAACTTTTCAAACGTGGAAAACTTTGCGAGTTTCAATTTTGCGAAATATTATTTAAAGATTGAAAAGACATGACAAAGTTGCTAATTAGTAATTAGTAGATGTATTGATTTATTTAGTAATTGATGAATTGTATATTTAGATGACGTATAGATTTGTTTCTAATTTTTTTCTGAAAAAAGAAATTATATAATGATGAAACACAAAAGTAGAGAAGAAATTATACATGAAGAAATAACAAACGGATATGTTAAAACCAATTTTTATATTTTTTTGTAATATTTTGGTAATTGAAATTTGTTATATTTTTCGCAAATTTCATGAATTCTTTTTATGATATGTCTTTGCATATCGCGTCGATCGATTATAATACAATATGGATTAGGTCACTTGTATAAAGTGCATACAGAATGCATCAAATTCGGTCACTGCAAATATTGAGGTCGATGTTAATTTTTGTTGACATATAATGCTGGAATAGTTAAAGAGATATTAGAAAATACTTACGTATACAGCATTAAACGTGTTTATTAAAGTACAAACATGTTAAGCAACATTATTTCGCTGAAAGTGCGCCAGAACATTTGCTTTAGTGGCAAATGATATGCACATGACCTTAATAAGCGCTTTGACTACAATACTTTGTATAAAAAAAAGTCAAATAATGCCCCGTCATTGCATTTGAAATGTAAATAGTTTCCAACATATTGTGTCGAAATTCGATTCTAATAATTCGAAAAGTATTTTTTTCTAAATTGATTTTTTCTAAAAAGTTATTAAATAAAAGTAAAAATGTTAAAATATAGAAATTTCCATTGAATAAAACAAAAATATAATGGAGTATAAATATTATAAAACTTATTAACAATGTATGATTTATTTATAATATAAATTGCAACATACATTTTTAATTGATAACTCTTTAAAAGAGAATTTTACAATTCTAATAATTCGAAAAGTATTTTTTTCTAAATTGATTTTTTTCTAAAAAGTTATTAAATAAAAGTAGAAATATAGAAATTTCCATTGAATAAAACAAAAATATAATGGAGTATGAATATTATAAAACTTGTTAACAATATATGATATTTTTTATAATATAAATTGCAACATACATTTTTAATTGATAACTCTTTAAAAGAGAATTTTACAATTCTAATAATTCGAAAAGTATTTTTTTCTAAATTGATTTTTTCTAAAAAGTTATTAAATAAAAGTAAAAATGTAAAAATATAGAAATTTCCATTGAATAAAACAAAAATATAATGGAGTATAAATATTATAAAACTTGTTAACAATGTATGATTTTTTATAATATAAATTGCAACATACATTTTTAATTGATAACTCTTTAAAAGAGAATTTTACAATTCTAATAATTCGAAAAGTATTTTTTTCTAAATTGATTTTTTCTAAAAAGTTATTAAATAAAAGTAAAAATATAGAAATTTCCATTGAATAAAACAAAAATATAATGGAGTATGAATATTATAAAACTTGTTAACAATGTATGATATTTTTTATAATATAAATTGCAACATACATTTTTAATTGATAACTCTTTAAAAGAGAATTTTACAATTCTATGTTATATTTTATTTGTATAAAAATTTAATAATTGAACTGCGTCGTAACTATTTATATTTTGCAGATTTAATTGCAGACTCTGTAAGAGTTTTTTAAAATACTTCATTTTTTAATCGAGCTATTAATTTATATTGACAATAGAAATTTATTGTCACTATAATATTTTCTGACTTACTGTTAATAACTTTTATCGATAACTTTTACTGGTTAGCGGTATTCAGTGACTTATAATCCCGTGTAAAAGAAAGTATTGATTGTTATGTATCTTCAAATGATACTCGTTACCGACCGATGTTTGAACCAATTTCTCAATAATAGATTTATAAACCTGAATTTATATAAATGTGTTAGGAAATAAAATTGCAATTCTTATATTATTAATTTTGCTGAAATGAAATTTATGTTAAAATATTTTTTTACATTCTAGCGTTTATAAAATTTCTTTAAAACAATATGTATACTATGGCTTATATATATAAAAGAAACACGGTTCTTTTTCATCTTTCCCTATTTTTCGTTTTTCCCTATTATCTTTTACCGGAAATGCGAGATTGAATTTTATAACTTCTGATTAATTTAAAGTAGCTTGAAGAATCTCGTAAGAATTTAAACTTAAGTTAGGATGAGGTTTCCTTCTTCCAACTATAAATTTATAATTCTTTAACGAAAAATAGAGGATTGATCTTTATAGATTTTCAAGATTTAGTAACTTTGTTAGAAGATTGAAAAAGCGATTTCAGCTTTGATCTTGATAAAACATATATTTGTAGACATTTTTATAAAGTGGTATACATTATTTTTCCAACAATCTACATATGTATAATAATATGCATTTATATTTTTAAATTTGTAATGAAACGTTTTCTATTTCCACTCTTTTGACCTGCACATTTTACTGAGATATAAAATACACGTTTATAGAGTTTTTGCAGTTGCACTTTTTTACAACTTGCAATTCACAATTTTATCTATAAAAACTGCTTTGTAATATCGAATAGAAAACATTCAAAGTTTGACTTGAACAAATTCACATTACATTCCTGCAATACGTGGATAGCAAAAAAAAAAAGAAAATTTCGACATGTCGCTACAGTGGGATTCGGAGAAAAAATTGGAATCCGGAGAATGATTGATGGCAAGTTTGATGCTGCAATTTCGATTTGTACATCCGATTCGTTAATATTTTCTTCAGGTTTTTATTGCTTCGGTCAAAGCCAGCTGTGGTATTTAATATATTGCATATATTCAAACATGAATACACATACAAGTAAACATATAAATAAATTTATAAAAAAATTTATATTTTTATTTAATAGCAATATAAAAACAAGATAAGAAAGTAAATATCTTTTAATTTAATAGAAAAGGAAAGTAAACAAAAATGATATTTCATTTAATAAGACTTCCAGTTGCTTTAAGATAATTAAAATATAAATTTTTAAGTAAAAATTATACAATAATAAAATTAATAAACTTTACATTAATGTAACTATATTTTATCGGTTTTTAAATATAATTTAAAAAATGTTTATTTGTTTTATTATATATTATGTAAGTTTTGAATTAAAATTTGTTAGAATTAATATATTTATAATTATAAATGCAACCAACTTACCTACAGTTTGATTTTGTTGTCGCTTGAAGAAAAGATACGAAATTGAAATTAATTTCTAATTATGTAGATCGAATTTAATTAATTCGCTAACCACGTGTCACTCCTCTTTCGGTTTTTCGATCGTTATTTGGCGGCGAAGGTGGGGATGGAATGTCGTTCTTGAAAACCAATATCTCGATGATGTCTCATCTCGCTGGGGGAGTAGCTTAATAAATGCTTTCCCTTAAGAGAAGAGGCGCGACCGCGGTTTTTTGTGAATCGGTCTGACTGTCTCGTCCCAATTTAACAATGCGAACGACATTATAAGAGAGAGAGAGAGAGAGAGAGAGAGAGAGAGAGAAACGATCGATTGCGAAATTGAAATATCAGGTAGATTAATCTCTCGCAAATTTGAGTTCCGAAAGAAGGTCTTGCGAGGGAGAATCTTTGGAGTTCTAGTACGTGTGACCTTGAGGAGAAATATATTAGGAGCCAGGAAGTCGAACGGAAGGGGTCGATTCCTTGGACAGATTAAGCGCATGCATGCAAGACTTGCTTCCTTTGCCAGCAGCGCAGTTCGCGAGCTTTTTAAAGGTTGAAAGGGCCGAAATTAATGCCATCGATACATATTGACATTGATATGTCGACAACCGTTACTTTGTGTGACAATCTAATAACGATACGTATATATTTTGTATAGTAATATATTTACTTGCGACATATTATGTACTATATGCATAATATATATATATATATATCTTGTGCACAAATATATATATATATATATATATATATATATATATATATATGTAAGAAAGAAAGAAAAAAGAGAAAGTGATGAAAATCATTATTTATAATATTATTTTATATACAAAAAATTTCTTTATTTCATTAAATATCGCAATCAAGATATAAAATTCATTATTATATATTTTTAAGAAAAATAAGAATAATATGAAATGTAATAAGATATATATAAATATAATTAAGTTATAACGTAAGATATATCGTATTTAAGAAAACGATACATTTTTAATAAAAAAAGAAATGTAACATTTTAAAATGTTTTTCTAAGAAGTTTGTGCATGCATGTGTGCATATGAGAATGGAATTGTCAAAAAGTTTATCACGATTTTATTGTCAGAGCGGTCACGTAAAAACAAATATATGTGAATTATAGAAGTCAAATAGATGCAAGAAAAGAGATCATACTGAATCCAAGTCACGTTTAATCTTTTGGGTATTATGCATTCTGTCGTCTCGTTTTTTGTGAAGTTATTTGCTCCTAAATTAAGCGTCTAAAAATTCTTTAATAACACTGTGTTATCGTATATTATTCCTTCAGATTTCTAATTTATTTTTTTAACAAACTTTATAATTCTTTTTTTTATAAAAAATATATTCTCTTCTTTCTTCAATCTTTTTCTTTTTCTGAATATGTTTTTAATTTTCTGCTCTGTGATGCTTTACAATGTTTATAAACCGGAAACCTGCATATTCAATTCTTATAAATATTCAATGAATTAACGTATTTTAAT